AAATGTACTTTAAAAATCCTTACAATGACAGCCAACACATAATCATTAGTTGTACTCCTGTACACTAATAACAACTCACATTATAATGAAATCAAGAAAGCAGTCTAGGAGCAGGTGCTTGGTTAAAGGGGTTCATATGCTGTCTGTAACATTCAAATGACCTATGAGAGGGCTTGGTTCAAATGTCAGCTCCACTCTGGTTCCCAGGTTCTTAAGAATAAACACCCAGGAAGGCAGAAGGTATGACTCAAGAAATTGGATCCTTGTCATAGATATGCTAGAGCAAGATTGGGTTCCTGGTTGTTGATTTCTGCTTGGCCCCGCCCTGACTGATGCAAGCATATTGAGAAGTGAATTAGCCTATGGAGGTTCTCTTTTCCTCTCTCTGTCTTTCTCTCTCTCTCTCTCTCTCTCACTCTCTGGCTCTTTGAATAAATTAACTAGAGCAAGACAGCGATCTTATTTACCATAACATGGAAAGAATAAAGCAAGTAGCAATAACCTGAGCCTAGGCAGTATATGACTTGTATTCTGAAAACTATATTATATTCATGAATTCACATCAAGATAACATAAGTTGTTTGAAAGGTGCCTTGTGTTCATGGAGAAAAAAATACGAATGCTGTGGCAAGATACAGACTAAATGTTATAATTATCAAATTCACAGTGACAGATTTTTAACAAAATAGAAAGAGGGAAAAAAAATTTAAAGCTTGTAAAACAGAAGACATAAAACATAAAATCTCTTGAAATGGAGGTGTAAAGCTAGAGATATCACATTTCCTGATTTTGAAATACATGTTTAGCTTTTAAATATGTTATGCTGACAGAGTGTTTAAAAGTGATGGATATGTTCATTAACTTTAATCTTTCATAATATATAAATTATACTCATAGGCACATAATTATTTGAAAGGCTAAAATAATTTTTTTTATCAAGTAGTATGAAGCTGGTATAAAGAGATGCATCAGGAGTATTTGAAGAGTTCTAGAAATGTGCATTATGAAAAATTGTGGTGCAAAGTAGCACCCTAGTTGGCACCCATATGGATGCTGGTGTTTGCAGGTGGAGGATTAGCCAGTTGAACCAAGCTTCTGGCCCCAAAGTGTTTTTCTTCTTTTCTGTTACAACAGAATTTTTGGATCGTTATTATATTTGTAACAGTTTTTCACTGTTTAATTCCTAATCTCATTTGCTCTCATTAGTGCAGGTGTGAGACTTTTTCCAGGGATTTCTTGATTAAGAGAACTAAGGATCTTATTGTTGAAATATTTGCTACATCCAGGCTTGTTTGGTGCCTGGATCATTCAAGGAAGAAGTATCTTTGCAGCACTATAGAGGAACTGCTGCATAGAGACGTGGAGTGTTCTCTTATTGGTGTCACTGGCATGTTTCCGTGAAATGGCTTAATGCAAAGGCAGGCAGGCGATGAGTGATAACAGTGATGGCAACAATTACAGGCATTATCGAAGTGTGACTTGGACTGGCAAACACTGATCCTGTCAAGAAAACTTCAATGGCTCCCTCAAACACTGGCCAGGATTCTGGAGATTCAACTCTCCAAAATTCCTGATTTTCAGAATAATCTGCGCATACTCCTGTTGGTGCATTTGGCTCACTCTCAAGAGTGGCTGTTATTGCTCCCTGATGTCACTGTCACATTGCTGTCAGCAGTGTTTTTATTAGCCAAAGAATGTGTGTTTTCATTATGGTTGTACGAATGTCCTGCATTATGACTACATTCTTACAATGAGTTTATACAAGAAAACCCATAGCATATGGAAAAAACTGATATTTTAAATGTATTACATAGAATGAAGAACTTCATGTGTCTATCAATGACAGGTAATTTTAAGGCTGCTCTTCCTATGGTTGTTACCAAAAGGTGAATTAAATGACATCATGTATTGGGAAGTTGCAATAATGAGAAAAGCTTTGAAATTTGAGCAGTTATTGTGAGCTTTCCAATTAGTGACAGCTGGTTTCAGGCAATTTTCAAAATATTTATTTATTTATTTATTTATTTAAAATGTTTTTTTTATTGGAAAGGCAAAAACACAGAGAGGAGGCGAGATAGAGAGGAATATCTTCCGTTCGATATTTCACTTCCCAAGTGAATGCAACAAATGGAGCTCAGCCAATCTGAGGCCAGGATCAAGGAGCTTCTGGATTTTCCACGTGGATGCAGGGTCCCAAGGATTTGGGCCATCCTGTACCTGTTTTGCAGGCCACAATGATCCAGATTGATGGGAGTCAGGGCTGCTGTGATTCGACCTGGCGAACTTATGGAATCTTGGCGCATGCAAGGCCAGTACTTTAAGCATTATGTTTTGGCGCTCGGCACAGATATTTTTATATTTATTTGAAAGGCAGAGTTACAGATAGAGAAAGAGAGACAGAGAGATCATCATGTCTATGGTTCACTCCCCCAATCATCACAACATGTGGAGATGCACCAGTCTGAGACCAGGAGCTTCCCCTTGGTCTCCCATGTGAGTGCAGGAGTCAACCACCGGGTCATCATCTGCTGCTCTCTCAAGCACGTTATCAGGCAGCTGGATTGAGAGTTAAGCCACAGAGACATGAATTGGTGCCCACATAGGATGCTGGCAGCACTACAGAATCTTGACCTGAAATATCTCAGCGCAGGACCCTGAGGCTCTTATTGCTAATGTTGAGTCATTCATTCCAAGAATAGAAAATGCCACTTTACTCATTGTGTTTCTTCTTGTCAATATAACAGAATTTGCTATTGAACTCACTTCCTATATAAAATGGTTCACCATTACATTTCAGCATGATGAAATCTAGATCTATGTCAATGTATACAGACATATGCTCTTAATTGGCAGACAAATCTGACTTACACTAAGATATTTGCAAGAGTACAGTGTTTTTGCTAGGTATATTCGAAACATAGTGTTGATAAGTGTTAAAAGTATTCCAATTGGTGTAGCAGGTGACATTTCAAAGAGTATCTGTGAACACTTCATTGGAAAAGGAATTGTTGACAGAATATTGCTCCACAGATCATGCCTAGACAGTGATAGGAAAGGCCTCAGGATCATTTTTATCCTCCAAGATCACTACAGGCTAAAACTTTTGTTTGGATTCTCTACTGCAAAATCAGTCATATTGGACAGTGAAACCTAGGTCTGTTATTGTAGTCAGGTATTATTTTTCATGCTTTGCCTTCATAATGTGAGTACTAACACACAATCAGATTTAAATGTGATGTTGTGGACACAAGACAGAAAAGGCAGGTTTAGAAAGAGGAGATATTGAAGACACTGGCAATGGGTAAGACACTTCTCTGTCCTCACCAGAGAAGTGAGGACAGGGGAGTGAGTTGGACAGATAGTCTTGGAGGATCCTTCTACGTTGAAGAGATTAGATTGGAATCTGGGAGACCCTAAAATTTCCTATTTTAAGATGCAGGATAGAAGGTCAAGCAGGTGAACTGAATGATCTTTCCTAATTACACGTGTGCCTTTTGTCCGTGGTCTGAGGAAGGTGAGGACTGTCAGCCAAGGGGCAGTGGTGAGAAAAAATTTACAAGTCAGAGTTGGAGAGGAAATGAGAGGTAGGAGGCACTGGGTGGGGAGGGCACTTGTTTTTTTCTGGCTCCAATATGTGATTTGGATGATGAAGATACTTGTCAGCCAGAAGAGAGCCTGAGTCACTGCACAGGGCCAAGAAAAGGTTAGATTAATCTAAAGATCAAACACCAGTTCTGAGTGAGGAGTAAACGCACAGTGAAATGCTGCTGCTGCTGCTGCCACTCCTAGTCCTGGCAGATCTCCTCCCAGGTGGTGACAATAAGGACGGTAAGAACAACTGGCAGCTGCCAGCACTGGTGCAGAGGGTCTGCATACAGTCAGTGCTGTGCTTACACCGGGGTGCTGTTCCCTCTGGTTCTCTCTACAGCTCTGGTGTATCTCAAAGTCTCAGGCTTGTGGAATGCTTAGGCTGTGGGTTCAGTGTCTGATTCTCTTCAATTTTCATTCTCTCTAACTTCCTCCTGCTTTCTTCTTCTCACCATGTGATTCTTCTTTCCTTACAGCCCTCCAGGGACCGACATCTTACCATGTCATCCAGATCTCATCCTTTATAAACAGCTCCTGGACACAAACTGAAGGCTCAGGCTGGATGGAAGATTTGCAGATTCACAGATGGGACAGTGATAATGGCACTGCCGTATTCCTGACATCTTGGTCTAAGGGTAACTTCAGTGATGAGGAGCTGTTTGAGCTGATAGGGCTCTTCCGAATTTACTTCTCTGGACTCACAAGGGAACTGCGTGACCACCTCCTTGAATTCCAGATGCACTGTGAGTTCAGCCTTCCCTGATATACTCTGCATGGCTACTTTCACTTTCTGACTGAGGCTGCCCCTCCCTGGCATTCTCCTGGCCTTTTATTTTTTTTGCTGTACTCACCATCACACTTGCTCTTACTTTCAGTGCGTTCTCATGGCATCTTCACACTTTCTGAAAGATTCCTATTCTTGAGAACTCTTCAATCTTTGGAAGTTCTAGGCTTCCCTTCAAAATAGTCTCTCTGTGACTTGTACTTCAAACACCCTTATTTCTCTTATCTTAGGTCTGAGTGACCTAACCTGTGTCTCCTTCCTCTAACCCAGCTCCTCAGCTTTCTGCCTGCACTCCTCCAAAAGATTCAAGTCTGAAATAGTGTGTTTCTCTCTCCACCATGAAGTTCCTGGCATCCTTCCTCTCCTTTTATTGCCTCTACAGCTTCATCACAGCCCCTCTGCATCCTTAACACAAACACTTCTCCCCAGTTTTTGTGTTCAATGGTATTAGTGACTTTTGACTCATTCCACAACTGAAAGCAACTCAAAAAATAAAGTGTAAACTCGTATTCTTACACCTGCCTTTATTTGATGTTTACTGCTGAGTGACTAAGTGTCTGCTTTCTCCCCAGATCCCTTCGAAATGCAGGGTATAGCAGGCTGCGAGTTGCATTCTGGAGGTGCCATCGAAAGTTTCTTGAGTGGAGCATTTGCAGGACAGAATTTCCTGACCTTCAAGAATTATTCATGTTTGCCTGATCCAAAAGCTGGTACGAGCGCTGAGAAAGTATGTACACTAGTTTCCCAATACAAAGGAATCTGTGATATTGTAGAGATACTACTCTACAAAACCTGTCCACGGTTTCTTCTTGGTGTCCTTGAAGCAGGGAAGGCCGACTTGCAGAGGCAAGGTAAGTCCCACCGTGTTTCACTTCTTACCACCACCTGTAACTTTCAGAAGAGAGATAGCCAAAGATAGAGGATTTCCTTTGCTGGTCAAAGGAATAGATGAGGATGCTGTCCAACCTGTGGATTCTGGGACCCTATGCTTTGCAATAGGATCACAAGACAACATCATTCTTGCTGTTTCTTGCCCCAGTGAAACCCAAGGCCTGGTTGTCCAGTGGCCCCAGTCCTGGGCCTGGCCGTCTTCTGCTGATATGCCACGTGTCTGGGTTCTACCCAAAGGCTGTGTGGGTGATGTGGATGCGGGGTGAAGAGGAGAAGGTGGATCAGCAACATGAAATCCTTCCTTTTGCTGATGGGACGTGGTATCTGCGAGTGACCTTGGATGTTCCTGCTGAGGAAGCAACAGGCCTGTCTTGTCGGGTGAAGCACAGCAGTCTAGGAAACCGAGACATCGTCCTCTTCTGGGGTGAGAAAGAACCAGGGCCCGGGTGTGAAAATGTAATAGAGAGTCTTCCCAAATCCAGGAGCACTGGGAAGGGTTAGTGTTGACCAGAGGGTAAACAGGAATAAGGAGAGAGGGACAGAGGCATGAACACACAGAAACTGAGTGAAAGAGAGAGAGAGTTGAGAGAGAAAGTTGGAAATATGAAACAGGGAACCAGAGATGATCAAACATTTGTAGTATTTTCAGTGTGATGATATAGTGGGCCGTGAAAAACAGAGCATTGGCTCTATGGAAATTGCAGTGACTTTTCTGTGTTCTCTTTAAATTACCAGGACGCTCTGTCTCCATTGGCTTGATATTTTTGGCAATTCTGCTCTGTTTAGCCATTTTGCTGTTCCTGGCCCTATGGTATTGGAGGCGCTGGTGAGTATCTCTCGTTAGTCTCCCTCTGTCCCCTTCTCAGTGGTTTCCACCACTTCACGTAGTTGGTGCTTTTGTAAGAAGACTTTTCACCTTGTCCTTGTCTTCCCAACTCCCTGTCTCCTCTGTAGTAACATACACTGGTGACATTTATCACTTTTCCCGTTGTTAATGTTCAGATCAGGTGTGCTACTGAATTCAGAGTTTTGTGCAACCTTTATCATTACATGCCTCAGATCCCCTTTCCTCTCACAAAACTGAAACTCTTTAACCACTGCCCTCCATTACCCTCCTCCTCCCTGACCTGGGCAAGAACCATTAGAATTTCTACCTCTGTGAGTTTAACACCTCACTCTAGGCCCATCCTGCAAGGGAAGTCATGTAATATTTATTTGTTGTGGCTAATTTATCTTTTTAGTATAATGCCTTCAAGGCTTATGTTGGAGCACATGTCAGCCTTTGCATCCTTGTTAAGGCTGTTTAATATTCATTCCTGTCCATCTTTGTACCACATTCTGTTTTGTTTTTCCATTCGTATGTTAACGCTCATTCCAGTTCTTCAGCATTTGCCTATTGCAAATAATGACCTAATGCATATGGGTGTGTAAAAAGCAGAGACACACAAACTTATCTGCCTCAAATTTCTGTCTCCTTCTCTTTTTCTCTCTGTATCTCTGTCTATACATATTTATAGGTATATATTTACATAATAAAACCTGTCTTATATTTTTGGCAGGTCCTATCAGGATATCATATGAACTTTTTTTACATCGTCTCCCTCATTTGCAATAAATTGTGAGAAGCACAGAAATCAATATTTCTTCCAATATTTTAGGTGAAACCAAATTTTGAGATTGTAAATTTCATATTGTCTATACCAATGTAAAAGTAATTAAACTTTTTCATTATTAGGTGCTATCAATAATAGCATTCATTATTATATCAACATTTACTACTTGTTCTGCACTTTTTGAGATTACTTAAAATTTTATATCTTGTGCTCTCTTGATGTATCACATACTGGGTTGAAAATGGTAAAGTCTGTTGCTTATCTTTCTTGTTTATTTTGTGTGTATAATTATAGATATTATTATTTATATGTATATACATGTGTATATATGCTCAGATGTAGTTTGCTGAGTTTAAATCTGTGTATTTAATTTTTTCAATGTGTGAAGTAGAAAATATTTCTTTTTTCTTATTCCTAATGGGAGGTTAGAGGGTTTTGTTTTGTGTATAAATGTGTATATTCCGCATCAAAAGTGGGACACATTCACAAGAGAGGGGTTAATGCTGGAAATTATCATAATTTTATGACCAGTTCAAAAAAATGAATCTATTGCTTGACTGCTTGTTTAACTGTTTCTTAGCACATTTTCCATGTGTTTTGAGTGAGTTCTGCAAATTTCTTTGCTTATACCTAAAGCTTGTTTATAGTATCTGTATGACATTAGTGCTTACTGGGCTCATTGTAATGGCCTTTCTCTGTGTTGGTAATTGATTCTTCACCTCTTTCTTGTGCTTTTTCTCCCTTCTTGCCAAATTTCACTTTTGTACGGTTTTGAAAGACACAAATCTTGGCTATATTGCTTTTCTGCATTATTTTCCTCTTTACACTGTTTCTCCTTTGTCTGTTTCATTTGCTTTCATAAGAGAGATCCTATGAGAAAAGATCCTGCAAGATACATATTAAGAAACTGTACATGGATTTCAGAATCTTTTTTTACGGAATCAAAGTTCTCTCTGTGTCTGCAGTCAAATATGAAAATAATTTCAAAAAGGGAGCAGAAAGAATGACAAGTGGCAAAAGTTAGGGACATCAGTTTTATAATGTGAACATGTTCCATTCCTGACTTAAAGTGAGAAGTTTTGACTGTTTACAAATAAAGCCAAGAAATTCAAACATTTCATTCCTTGTTGTTTAGAGAGGCTATAGCTAAGACAAGGAAACAGACTTTAAAACGAAAGGAAAATCATTCACTGAAAAAAGAGAAAGGAGACTTTAAATCCAGATTGCACAGACTATAAGGTTCCCATGTGTCTGTAATGTTTAGATTGTTAGAATAATCTCTTTTGATCATTGTTCTTCCTAGTGTATTTTAAATACAGACCTTCTTTGGAAGAATGGTTTGATCTTCATATCAGCAATTTGAAAGGCTACATTATGTTTGCCAATTTTCTAATGTGCATTTATTGATGCATTAGTAATATAAAAATCTTCATTTCTGGAATTCCACATATTGGACTGGTTGGTCATTACATTTTTATTCATTCATTTTTAGCTATATGCCATCATGTCAAAACAAAGCTTTCATGATTTTAGATTTAGAATCTGTTTATGATGCTTTAGGAGGAACATGTGTTGTTGAATGTTCCATCTTTACATGAAAGGAATATACATTTTCACATAGTTTTTAAAGATTCATTTATTTCACCTGAAATTCAGAGAAAGAGAGCTCTCCATCTACTGACTCACTCCTCAAATGGCTGTGAAGTCTGCAGCTGGGCTGGTCCAGGCTGGCAGCCAGGAGCTTCTGCTGCTTTCCCAAGCCATTAGCTGGGAACTGGAGCCCAAGTGCAATGCCAGCAGAGCAGGTGGAGGTCTAGATTGCAATTGTCTGCCCCTCTTTCTCTTCCCATCTGTCAGGATTAGAACCAGCGCCCCTTTGGGATCCCAGCCCGTTCAAGGAGAGGACTTGAGCCACTAGGCCACACCACCAGGCAATGCCTCCCTTTTTCTTAAGAAATATTTTAATTTTGAAAGTATTAGCTTAGGTCTTATTTTTAAATTATATTGCTCTAGTTTTTATGAATAGTGACTCATTGTATAGCTAATTCAAGTGCAAGTCTAAAGATTCATTTATAGCATACATTTAATATTGCTTTTTTAAAAAGATAATTTTGCATTATAACTTTAGGGTTTTGACCTGAAAATTTGCATGAACAAATGTGCACAAACATTACATTTTGCCTAAACCATCTTGAAATTTACATTTCTTTTTCATTTCTAATAAAAGTTCCTTTTGTATAAGGAATTTTTTAATTTTTTAATTTATTTTATAAATATTACTGGTGAAATAAATAGTTTCAACATGTATTTAGGGACATGATATTTTATTCCAAGTACAAATTTTAGCATTCAAATTTGCTTAGTTTTATGCAACAAGTGGTGTTCATTGTTCATCCTGGAACATCCTTTTTTTTAATTGTTATTGTTTTTCATGATAGCATTTTATAGGTGTAGGAATTCCTGGCGCTCCCTCCCATTCCTCCCACGGCATCTCCCTTTTGCTGTTTTCCTCCATATTGTTACAGTAGTATGGTTCTTTGCAGGTGTAAGGCAGTCGTAGACAATGCCATTGTCAAATTGTGGTTTTCCATCTTGTTAAGATGGGAGGTTATTTGTGCATTTTACATATACACATGATACTTGTCAACGTAGCATAGTTTTTTTGTTGTTTGAAAATGCTTTTTAAAATTATCTAGTATACCTCAACACCCCACTGATTTAATTAGTGTTGTCTCTACATTGACCATGACATTTTTACTTTCCTCATTTCTTTTTCTATATAGGCTTCCTTATTTCTTCTACTTTCTGGATTAATTATATATTTATTTTACCTTTTTTCCACTTATACCTTGTTACTTTAATAATCTCTTATGAATATTTTATTGGTCATTATGATTGTATATTTTTTTTTACAACTTCAGCTCATTTTAATTTTGAACTTATTTATTATCAACTTTTAAATGTATGTACTTCCTTTATTATTATTATTATTAATAACATTGCATTTTGTGACTCAGTTTTATAGGTACTGGGATTCCCACCACCCCTCCAATAACTCTCCCTCCCATGGTGGATTCCTCCACCTTGTTGTGTGACCACAGTTCAAGTTTAGTTGAGATTCCTTCATTTTAAGCATATACCAAGCACAGAGTCCAGCATCTTATTGTCCAGATAAGTTCAATGGCTTATTGGGGAGACCTTTTCTGGTCTGAAGGTAGAGCCAACAGAATAAAAACCTGATCAATCAAAAGCCCTAACATAACATCAGCAACACTATACAATGCTATGGTATTAATTGACATAGTATTGAGTGAACAATATATTAAAAATAATGCAAATTTTACCACATCCTGTGACTACTCTATTGACATTTCAACAATTGAGGTGCAAAACAGTTATAGGAGGGGTGAAGCACTAGGTTTTGAAAGTATAGTAGGTTTTACAATTTTTCAAAACACATGAGTTGAGACAGTATTAATAACAGGTTCAAAAAGAAGAAAAAAAATTACAGGTTAAATTAAGGCAAAGATGTGGTATCTAACCTTTTGGGATTGGCTCATTTCCCTTAGCATTATGGTTTCCAGTTGGGCCCATTTGCCACAAAGAACTGCATTTTGCTTTTTTTAATAGCTGAGTAGTATTCCATGGAGTAGATGAACCAAAGCTTTCTTATCCCATCTTCTGCTCATGGGCATTTTGGTTGTTTCCGTGTTTTGCAATTACTGATTGTGCTGCTATATACACGGGGGTGTATGTTGGTTTGTCGTGAAACAGGTGTTTTGGATATATTCCTAGGAGTGCTATATGTTTTTAAAATTTTTAATTTTATTATAAACAGTCATTATCACTTTCTGCTAATTTAGTTATGTTAATTCTAAGTATCCTTCACTTGTGCATATGATATTGCTATGAATATCAAGTTTAGATTAAATTTTAAGCAGTAAATATTCTAATTTATTTGCCTTCATTACTAGTTTCTGGTTAAGATTGGTGACTAGAAATGTCATTTGATTTTAGCTCACAAACAGCAATCATTCCTATATGATATTCAAACACTTGGATTTCTAATATATCTATAATATTTTAAATTATGATTTATTTTCAACCCCAATGTATTAGACTTTGGGATATAAAGTTATGGAATTGCTACCTAAAGCCTATTTGTTTGCCAGGGCTTCTCTTGCTAGAAGGCCTCCAGTTTCAGCTGTTGTCTCATTATACCCATGACTCTGGAATGTTCTACTCCACTTCCAGTTCACTTGGTTGCCAACAGGAAATTGGAAATCTCTGTAGGTAAAACAATGTGGCACCTTCTAGCAGGATTTCTCTTTTCCAGATAAGAGGCCTTTAATTTCTCACCTTGCTGCTCTTAAGGATATTCAGCTAGATGATATTTCTCAAAATGAGATATTGCAATTTTTAAAAATTATTTTATGATGCAGTTTCATAGGCTCTGGGAATTCCCATCCCCCTCGCCCAAGTCCCTTTCCTGCCACTAATCTCCACTGTATTATTACAGTAGTACAGTCCTTCATAAGCAGTCATAAGTCCATTATTCAGTTATTTAAGTGTATCCTGACATTGTATGTACAGGCAATGGAAGAAAGTCAAGCATCCTTTTGTCAAGATGTAATTAACAGTTTCACTGGGAGTCCATCTTTGATTTGGAAGTAGAGCTGCACACTGCATTGTGTCTTCCTTCACATAGGGGTATGATAACCTTTACTCCACAGTTACTATACATTTCTTTAAATAATTAGCCATGTAACAAAGTCATCAACCAGAAGCAAAATAGGAATTTACAACAGCATCGAGTTAAGTAGCATGGAACTGAATAACCATTGTGTGGCAAGAAATAAAAAAGAACATCAGAAACCTTCTTTCAGAAAATGATGTTATTGTGTGACCTATGTGTCACTGAAGAATTAATTTAAAAAATCCCTTTTGAGGAAATGAAAATAAGAAAAACACCAAAAACCCATGAGATGTAGTAAAAACAGTATTGAGAGGGACATTTATAACATCAAGTGCTTATATAAAAGTCAAAATATCTCAAATAAATGCTCTAATAATGTATCTCAAGCCCTTACTAGAAAGGAACAATAAGCCGAAAATAAGTAATGTTAAAGAAGACAGCAAAATAAATGGAATTGAAGCAAAAAAAAAAAACTCTAAAAGTTACATTAAAGAGCCATTTTTAAGAAGATGACCAAAAAATAAACAAACAAACAAAAAACACTTTTATTCAGAGTAAGCAGAAAGCAATAGAATAAAACAAGTAAAATTAGAGATGAAATAAAAAATTAAGGAACTAGTAAAAGGATCTCTTTGTCCTTAATGGATCATTTGAGCATTATGTGGTATCATTATTCACCTCTTTTAATATTTTTCAAGTTAAAGTGTATATTATGTGACATAAGATCGGGCATACCGGTTTACTTTTCTTTCCATTATCCTGGAATTTGTTTTTCTAATGTTTTACGGTCAATTTTCACTGATCTTGGTGAGATATGTCTCTAATAGGCAACAGAGAGATGGATTTTGTTTTTTATTCTACTCTGTTAATCTATGACAGTTGTTTGGTGAATTTAAGCCATTTACCTTCAGGCTTAATATTGACTTAGTTCATCTTCCAGCTTTTTAATTTTTCCTATTGTTGAGGGAAATCTCTTCCAAATCTGAGATTCTTTATTCTATTATTGAGGCTTTCCATTGAATATTTAAATTGCTTTATTGTGTTTCTATTAATTTGGCTGAATTTTTTTCAGTGTTCTTCGTCCTCCAGCTCCTCTTAGTCATTCTAAGTTAACTCTGAGATTTGTATGGGTTTTTGATCCTTTGGGGGAAGGCATCAGTAATAGTCATTGTGTCTCTCTCTCTTCTTTTACATTTTTTTTTCTGGTTAATACTTATCTTTTATTGGGA